GGGGGGGGGGGGGGGGGAGGAATTAGCATTAACTTCTGGAAGACAGAAACCTTTCAATGTCGAAGGATCAATCTGATACAATGTCGAAGTTCCATCGCTTCCAAAGAGAACTTTCCCATTAGTTGCCAGTCCCCAACCATCTTGCATCTCATGACTAAACTTCTCAAACTGAACTGAGCAGTGAAGTTCAAAAATTACAATATAAAACTAGATGTCTTTTAGAACAGTAATGGCTAAAAATTACAACATATACACTAGAAATCTTTTGAGCACTCCGAAAGACATGCAGCGACATTAAGAGAATTAATCAGTGCATCAAGGTATTTGCATTGAAATATAGCCGTTTTATCATATTGGCACAAACCTAACTAGGCTTGCGAGTTTACCATGATTGTAGATGAAACTAATCAATGACCTGAATAAGGAACTTGCGCATAAATCCAGCAAATGAGGTGTAAAATGTCAAAAGAAATCTCAAGAAAACACTCAAAGATTCTAAAAAGTAAGATCAGGACCTTTAGAAAATACTATTCATTATATCCAATATCATCTCGACTTTATCTTAAAACATTTGTAAGACAAAATAAGTCAGCATTGAGTTCATTATTTTTTATATCTGGGGAAGTGTAACTTATTGTCCCTGCTTATTATCAAGCTTCATCTGGCAGCCAAAAGAAAAGACGTTCACATCAAGTACCCCATGTCAATGTCCATGCCGGACAGCCTTTTGGTCCCATTGAACCTTTCTATTCAATATTGTCTCTGAGAATGGGTTTTGAATCAGTTGTAATCATAATTACTAATCTAGTCAAAGGACAGAAGCCTCTGATTTAAGAAGCACGGATACTTGCTAGAGCGGTGTCGTGGCAATATTGGACATAGTCGGATTCGTGTCCAACATAATTAGAAGTATCTAGAATAGTAAATTTGTTACTTCTTTCTTTTTTTCCTGGTCAGGCATGACTAGGATACGACATGACAAATAATTTGTTTCAATCTCATGACTATTAGCTACTAAGAGGGGTGTAGCATTTCTTTATTTTGTTTTTGTGTTTTTTGTTATGTAACTTATGAACTATGAATGTAATGGATGTAATGATTTTTGATGAAATGGTGGATAATTATTTTAATTTATTTCTATTTTAGTAAAAAAATTAATATTTGTTAGGCCTTATTATTGATATTGTTATAACATATGCTATGTTTTTAATATATTACAAATTTATTTGTATCTAAAAAATATTTGATATTATTTTAATTAGTCCAATTCTTGTACCCGTGCTTCCTAACCTCTGATACATGCCTATTCTCTGATACATGCCTATTGTGATCCTTGAGAGGGCACCTCTCTTCATTGAAGATTAGAGGGTTCATCGTTCTTAACATGAGACAAAATTCAGAAAATTGTCTGGCTGGAAAGCAGCAAGTATTTGCATGTCCACAAATCACAAACTGTATCAAACTATGGTTCCTCTAATGTTTCACTAATAGATATTGGATCAAATATTTATAAACATTTAAACATTATCCAACACTTCAGACTGAATAGAGACATTGAAGTACTTGAAAGGCAAATAAATGTTAAAATTTTACTACCTAGTTTGCCCCAAGTTCAACCCAAATATGCAAAAGTGGAACAATTCGGGCAAAAGTATGGAACTTCTAGATGCCTAGAAGAAAACTTCATCAACAACAACTATTGCTCAATTTGAGTTTCATTACCATTTTAAACATTAAATGAAGGTACTGAACAAAAAATGAAAAAGAACACATCATCCAAGGAAAAAGGTGAAGCACAAACTTTGCTTAAATTATTTCGGTCATATATGAAACCAGTTTTCTCCAACCAAGTTACTTGAAACAACCTACAAAAGTGGATAAAATTACTTGATTAGAATGGGGGACTCTTTTGAATACAAACACTATTATTTTAATAAGAAAACGAAATATAATAATAATGAACAAAAACTTACAACGGAACACAAGAAAAAACATAAATCGGGAGTACTAAAGGGTCACAATCTTGTTATCAAATTCTGGGTAACATTCCAATCAGGTATATTCACACAGAAATAACAATTCAACTCGTGGTTAGAATTAATAAAGACTCATGTGGTTCACAAATTTTAAAAATCATACGGCATTTGGGCGATTGAGGTGTTTAGCAAAAGAAAATAGTTTGCATGCTCAGTAATAACATCAAAGCGAGCTTCTATAACAAGCAGCACATCAAACAACAAAGATTCTAGTGACTGCATGGGCACTATTTTCTTTAGTCAAAATCCCAAACCCAGGTCTAAATGAACTACATGAAGAATTTGAGGTGTAAGTATAATAGCCATAATTTCACAGCTGAGATCCACTGTGGATGTAACACTACGATTATAAATGCCATGAGAGGTAATCACCATTGTCAAACAAGCAAGTTGTCAAGATGACATAAAATCTGCAAGGCTGCAAGCCTGCAACATATAGAGGTTTAGTGACAAACCTTTCACCAAGAAGAGTTAAGCCCTCCCCAAAATAAAAGTTATCCATTTTCTGAAGAGCCACAACCTGTAAATATCAAAAACAACAAATAGTTTAGATTCAAATACTAACATATTACAAGAAAGATTGTGTTCAAAACAAAAAAGGGTAGAGTAAGAATGTGTATGCATTAGGAAGCTCACTTTGAGCATCTAAAGGCCCATAGATTTGTACCTTCCCAGTCTGAAGATCCACTTTCCGAACCGATGACTGCAATCACAAAATGAAAAGGTCAACTAAAGTACTGCATTCAAACTCAAGGTCAATGATTGTTACCGGAATAGGCATCGAGCAACGCTCAGATTTATATAATTAGGAAAAAGAACTAAAATCTTGCTTAAGCTGGAAAATGGGGCAAAAACATAGCAAAAAATAAAATTGTATACACATTCTTTATGGAAAATAATATTTAAGAATGATGATAATAAAAAGAATCGTAAATCAAAAGAAATGTGACATAGTCATTGTTAAAAGGAATGCTGAGTGACGCCACAGGGTCGACGCCAAATCCAAAAACCCACATGCTTGTAAAGTCCAGTAGACTCGAATAGAGTATCGTTTCCTCCATATAAAAGCCCCTGGAAGGAAACAATCATTAGAGTTAATCGCACATAACAATCAGATCAAAATGATGGCACATACTATATATAATTGAGCAACTTGACGAAGACTGGACCTGTGTGAAGGCGTCGGGATCGTGAGGAAACTCGTTGACTACTTCGATGGAGTAAAGCTGGTTCGAACTGATTTCGATTCCGAAATTGACCCACATGTTCGATGAAATGCTTAGGAGACCGATCACGCATACCATAAGCATGACGGGAAGGATTAGAGAGATCTTTCTGTAAATGAAACGAGACGACGAGGGAGAAGAAGAAGAGGACATGGAAGAAGGTGTTGTTGGGGCCTGAGGTATGATCGCCTGTTAAGTTTCTTTCGTGTGGACGCATTCGCCATCAACTGTTCCACTCATCTGGCATTGAAGGGAGTATCAGAGAGTTTCACTTGACGAGAACGGCGAAAGAATGGAGGGGTTGCAAATTTTATTTAGGGTAAATTACATTAACACCACCTGAGATTTGTCACTAATACAGACAGACCCCCTCAAGTATAAAATATAACACCGCCACCCCCTGAAGTTTGATATGATGTAACAAATAGCCCCCTGGTGTTAAAGTTCGTCCACAGCACCGTTAAATCACAATGAATTCGACATATTCTTGTAACAAAATTCCTAAACTACCCCTGAAATTTCCATCCTAAACCACTAAATATCTGCAAAACCCAAAAAATTTTTGACTTCACAGCAAAAAAAACCTCCACCACCCTGTGTTCGCTACCACACCACCCACGAAACTTCAACCACCACTATCTTCTCTTTGCCCAACCCACCGAAGTCACAACCGCCAACTCCACCAACTGGCAAATTCTTCCACTCTCTCTCTCTCTTTCTCTATCTCTCTTCACACAAAAACACCACACAGGCGGGACCAAGCAGTAGGGAAGAGGATGTTTGGGCAGGCGATAGTGGTGATGTATTGATGGGTCTGGCTGGTCGGTGATATGGGTTTGATGGTCGCTATTATGGTGGTGGGTTTGATGGGCGATTTCGGTTATATAGGTTTGATGGACAGTGTCGGTTATATGGGTTTTGATGGTGGCTGTTAAGGTGGCGGATTTTATGGGCGATTAGCGATAGAACAGAGAGAGAGAGGGAGGGTTTGATGGACGGTTTCAATGTGGTGGCTGTTAGCGATAGAATACATAGGGGTCGGTGGCATTGGGTTTCGGTGTAGGCTGGTTTTATTTATTTTGAATATGGGTAAAATAGTCCTTTTAATACGTCCGTTAGATGTGTTGGTTGACCGTGACCGATAGGGGGTGTAATTGTAATATTTCATACCTAGGGGATCTAGGTGTTTTAGTGACAAAGTTCAGGTGGTGTAAATGTAATTTACCCTTTTATTCAATAAATATTAAATAAATAAATTTATAAAAATAGGACTAGAAATATTAAGGACAATTACGTCTAGGTCCTCTAAAGTTTGTCACTTAAATCAAATATATCCCAAATATTTAAAATATTACACACAAACTTTTTGAAGTTTGTACGCATGTAACGCTTAAACTCTGTCATCAATGTCTGTTAATATATTTATTAATAAATTATACACAGAATCTCTAAAATTTATAGGCGTATAACACTAAAACCTCTCAAGTTTAAAATATTATATTTAAACACTTTATTAATTGTAAAATTAACGAAATCTATTAAACGATTAAATTATTTTAATTAAATATAGAAGATATTGTGTCAATTATAGTTTGAACCCTTGTTTTGTTTTTTTTATTTTATTCTAATAGATAGTATAAAAATGAATATTGAATTGAGTTTTTTTTATATATTTATATTGATTATTATTTTTTCTCTAAAAATTGAGATTTTGTTTAAGTTTTATGTCAATAGATCTAATGGAACATGCATATGTGTTAATTATATTTATTTTATATGTTTATACTTGATGATGAAAAAATTGACCCAAGTTAAAAAATTTATTTAGTCCAAGACACTCCAAGTATGTCACTCTTAACTTCTAAACATAGATCATACTTTTGAGTCATATACTAACTTAGGTATCATATAATCGACTTCCGGAGCTTTCCTCCGGTCTCTAACTTCTTTTTTAAATGATCAAATTTTAATACACTAACGTGGAGGCCAACCAAATTTCGGTATCAACAATACTAATTATATTTTTTAAGAAAAAATTAATTTTTTATTTTTAAATTTATTTTAATAAATGATATAATCGAACATAAATTTTGATTGTAAAATTTAAAATATTTGATATTCTATCTTTAATTAGAGTATTTTTAGTTTAAATGTAATATTTTAAACTTGAGCGATTTAAGTATTATATATTTCAAATTTTAAAGGTTTGAAAGTAATTTATTAACTGATATACTAACAGATATTGACGACAGAGGTTTATATGTTACACACGTACAAATTTTAGGAAGTCTATGAGTAATTGTTCCAAATATTAATTATTACAGTATCTGGTGGTGTTAATTAAGTCACATTTTGCAAGTTGAGTCTACTGAGTTCGTTTTTTAAAACGAACATAAAAAATTATTCAAACTCAGCTTGTTTAAACTCAAGTTTAACTTAAGCCCGGGTCGAATTCGAGACGAGCCCTAGTGGTTTGCCTATTTTATATATAAACGAATCGAACTTGAGCAAATCTTTTAAAATTGTAAACGAACTTTAAAAATTATTCAAACACAGCTTGTTTAGAACGCGAGTTGAGCTCAAACAGAGTTTTATCCGATCGGAGTCGGAGTAATCGTCTTGATTAACACTCATAGTAATATCACATATTTGGTCCTTAGTTTTTTTAGCAATGCTACATGGACTTTATTTGTTGACCTTAATATTCTTTGTCATTAGAAATCAGGTTACTAAATTCGATACCAATAGTATTTTATTCTATTTTTTATCCATGTAATAACACTTAATTTTTTATTTTCTAGAGTTAATTGTCAAAAATCAATATGGAATAGCTTATTTATTCATACAAGCTAAAATAAAAAATAGTTTACTTTGGATGTTATTATTTTTTTTTGAAAAATAACAACATAGGCATTTCTTTATTAAATGCTATGCACTTAATTATGGGCATTTACTTTTACTTTTTCTTTAAATACTAAATACCAAAAAAGAGAGGGAGAGACGAGAGGGATGAAGATGAAGACCAAAGGGAAAAGATGACATAAAAATTCTATGCTTTGCACGGAATAGCTACTGCCTACTTGTATTAAATATGAAAGATTTCATCTATTCTAATTTTCATCTCATTTTCAAACACGCAAATTAAAATATTATAATGACAAAAAATGCATATAATCATTAAAAATTTCCCTAATGACCAAAGGCATTAAGGGATAATTTGGGCTAAATCTATCGCGATCATTAAATAATTTTTTTTTTTCTAAGAATAGAAAATAAATTTCTAATATTTTCCTCTAAATTTGTTATAGTTCCCATCATATGGACCTATAGATTGAAGGCCCAACCAAATTCTTCAAGGACAGATGCTGAGTCCAAAAAAAAATCGTGGACATAATTGGGCCTGACCAGCATAAAAGAGGAAAAAAAAAATCTAATTAGGTGTACCAATTTTTAAAAAACCCAAAAAAAAAAATATTCAATGGGATTCCGAAAACCTCATACATTGGCAACATGTGCAAAGGTTTTGTGGTAAATATTGATTGCATTATGTCATTAATATTAATTTATGTCACCATCTAATAAAAATATAGCAAGTAATAATTAAATTTGACATATTTTAGTAATTACATCTCTTTGTCTTTTGGTAACCACTCCTTTGTTGTATTTCTATTAGACAGTGACACCATTGATCATAGGACTTGTCTATTGTACCCAAAAAATAAATTTGGATATCATAATTTTATTTATTACATTTATGAATATTTTTATTATTATTGTGAGTGTTTTTATCACTATTGTGGTATTGAAAAAAGCGGTAAAAATAGTTACCATAACAATGATAAAAACACCCATAAAAATGGTAATTTTTTTTTTGTACAGAAGAAAAATGGTAAAAATAATTAGCACCACAGTGATAAAAATATCCATAAAAAATAAAAAAAAATTTATTATAAAATGACTAACAAAAATTATAAAAATACTTATTAAAGTAATAAATTTTATATATATTGTACTAAATTTTTTTGTCAGTATCATAGTCAAGTCAGGGCTAATCCAACTATTAGGTTGCTAAAGTCTAGACTCTAGGCCCCACCTAGATAGAAGCCTTCAAATTTTTGTGTGTATTAATAGCCTATGATTTTGATTAAAAAAAAAAAAAAATAGCCCATGATAAAATTTTATATTGATAACATGTTTATACCTAACAACAAAATCACGTAAAAATATAACTCTATTACAAAATTTTAAGCCCAGTAAATAAGATTCATAATTATAAATCTATAAATGACTTAACTATTTTACGAAAAAAATTAAAATATTGCAACTTAATTTATATTTCTTCATTTCGAATCAAAAAGCACAAAATATATATTTTGAATGAATGAAATTTAATAATAATTATTATTATTAAATATTAATATGACCTCATTTATAAATTTTATTTTAAGCCTCCAATTTCATTCGGCTGCGAGAGAGTCAAGTCCTTGACCATATGGTGTCACCATTGTATTTTTTTTTTCTTGAACAGGAATGAATATTTAGTTATTTATTCCTACTCAGAGAACATTCCAGACTTGACAAGCTGCGCCAACGATCAAACAAACCCGTATTTTAATATTCGACCCTTTCCGTTATTGGACAAACTCGAAACTTCGAGACCAATCAAACGATGGCGTTTCAAGACTCCTCAGCTTGTTCCAATCAATATTGAGACCTAATTTGTTATAATCATTGAATTTACTATGAATTTTATTAAATTTTAAAAATTTAGTATTAATTTAACAATTATAATGAAACTATATAATTAAATTATATTTTTAGCTCTAATAACATTATTCATTCAAAGAACCTGTACATAATATTTTATATTTTAAAAGATTTAAAAAATTTTATTTTATATTCTCAAAGATTAGAACACTGTAATGTGTCTTGTTGTTCGCTTCCATAACTTATCAACGTTAATCAGCTAATTTTTGACAAAAATGAACACCGAAGATAGACTTATATTGTAATACTTTTAATATATTGAGAGTACAATGTAATTTGATATAAAAAAAATAGGTAGTTTTTAAATTTTTTAGGGTGCAAACTGTAATTCGCCCATAAAGGAAATCCAGAGAAAGGTAGAAGGCTCCAGAAGCACGATGAGTCCCGCCAGTTCCACGCAATATGGAAAGAAGGTCCTAGAACTACAAGACCACGTCCCACTCTACTATACATAACCCCCTCCCTCTCTCTCACAGAAACCATCTTCAGAAACTCTGCTGGATTTTCTCTCTCAATTCCTAGCATTTTCAGTTTCTCTCTGCCAAATCGATTTCGTCTTCAATCTCTCTCAAACACTAGCATTTTCTGTTTTTCTCTCACTCAATCGCTTGGCAATTTCCTTGATCTGTGTTGTTTTCGAGAATGGCGGATGTTCAGATGGCAGATGCCGAGACCTTTGCCTTTCAGGCTGAGATCAATCAGCTTCTGAGTCTTATCATCAATACATTCTATAGCAACAAAGAGATTTTCCTTCGGGAACTAATCAGTAATTCCTCTGATGCTTTGGACAAGATCCGATTCGAGAGNTAACAACAAAATCACGTAAAAATATAACTCTATTACAAAATTTTAAGCCCAGTAAATAAGATTCATAATTATAAATCTATAAATGACTTAACTATTTTACGAAAAAAATTAAAATATTGCAACTTAATTTATATTTCTTCATTTCGAATCAAAAAGCACAAAATATATATTTTGAATGAATGAAATTTAATAATAATTATTATTATTAAATATTAATATGACCTCATTTATAAATTTTATTTTAAGCCTCCAATTTCATTCGGCTGCGAGAGAGTCAAGTCCTTGACCATATGGTGTCACCATTGTATTTTTTTTTTCTTGAACAGGAATGAATATTTAGTTATTTATTCCTACTCAGAGAACATTCCAGACTTGACAAGCTGCGCCAACGATCAAACAAACCCGTATTTTAATATTCGACCCTTTCCGTTATTGGACAAACTCGAAACTTCGAGACCAATCAAACGATGGCGTTTCAAGACTCCTCAGCTTGTTCCAATCAATATTGAGACCTAATTTGTTATAATCATTGAATTTACTATGAATTTTATTAAATTTTAAAAATTTAGTATTAATTTAACAATTATAATGAAACTATATAATTAAATTATATTTTTAGCTCTAATAACATTATTCATTCAAAGAACCTGTACATAATATTTTATATTTTAAAAGATTTAAAAAATTTTATTTTATATTCTCAAAGATTAGAACACTGTAATGTGTCTTGTTGTTCGCTTCCATAACTTATCAACGTTAATCAGCTAATTTTTGACAAAAATGAACACCGAAGATAGACTTATATTGTAATACTTTTAATATATTGAGAGTACAATGTAATTTGATATAAAAAAAATAGGTAGTTTTTAAATTTTTTAGGGTGCAAACTGTAATTCGCCCATAAAGGAAATCCAGAGAAAGGTAGAAGGCTCCAGAAGCACGATGAGTCCCGCCAGTTCCACGCAATATGGAAAGAAGGTCCTAGAACTACAAGACCACGTCCCACTCTACTATACATAACCCCCTCCCTCTCTCTCACAGAAACCATCTTCAGAAACTCTGCTGGATTTTCTCTCTCAATTCCTAGCATTTTCAGTTTCTCTCTGCCAAATCGATTTCGTCTTCAATCTCTCTCAAACACTAGCATTTTCTGTTTTTCTCTCACTCAATCGCTTGGCAATTTCCTTGATCTGTGTTGTTTTCGAGAATGGCGGATGTTCAGATGGCAGATGCCGAGACCTTTGCCTTTCAGGCTGAGATCAATCAGCTTCTGAGTCTTATCATCAATACATTCTATAGCAACAAAGAGATTTTCCTTCGGGAACTAATCAGTAATTCCTCTGATGCTTTGGACAAGATCCGATTCGAGAGCCTGACGGACAAGAGTAAGCTTGATGCTCAGCCGGAGCTTTTCATTCGGATCGTACCTGACAAGATCAACAAGACTCTCTCTATTATTGACAGTGGTATCGGCATGACCAAAGCAGGTACATATATCAACTCCAATCTAAATTTTCCTAGATGTACCCCTGTTTGTTTTTCACGAAAATCCTTCCCGGCCTGGAGAATGTGGACATAAATGTTAACTTATATTGATGTTTCCGTTAAAATTACACCAAAAGTTAAGATCATATTTAGTCCAGAGAACATTGTTGCCAAACTATTTAGAATATGGGCAATAATTCTTCTATCATGTATCTTTTATTTCTGGGCCAAAGATTGTGGAATTTTCGAGTTATTTGTACTGTATCTGTAATTTCTCGGCCATAGATTGTGGAATTTTTGAATTATTTGGAATAGATAATGTTCCGATTTGAGGATGTGCAACTTATGTATGTTTAATGATTGTTTTGGCAGACTTGGTGAATAATCTGGGAACAATTGCGAGATCTGGGACGAAGGAATTCATGGAGGCATTGCAAGCTGGTGCTGATGTAAGCATGATTGGGCAATTTGGTGTGGGTTTCTACTCTGCATACCTTGTGGCAGACAAGGTTATTGTTACCTCGAAGCATAATGATGATGAACAGTACGTCTGGGAATCTCAAGCTGGTGGTTCATTCACAGTCACAAGGGATGTCAACGGAGAGCAACTTGGTAGAGGGACCAAGATTACCCTCTTCCTCAAGGAAGACCAGGTATGAATATCTCACTCAATTTTATTTTATTTGGTATTTTAAAAAATTCTAGTCAAGCAGGTGGTTTATGCATAGCCTTGTGTTTGTCTGAGCTCTTAATTTTCAAAAAATGAGGATCGGATATGGCTCTAGTTTAGAGATTTTCAAAAGAATTTTCGTAGGATAAAGCATATAATTAAGAAAAAACAGATGTTGTACACACTGTAAAACACGTGTCTTGAATCGTATGTGTCTGGATTTGAATGATAGGAAGCCCAACTCATTATTGGTTTCTAAGAGTAGTTCTTTATTTTGGGTGCTGTGCAGTTGGAGTACTTGGAGGAGAGGAGAATTAAGGATCTTGTGAAGAAGCACTCTGAGTTCATTAGCTACCCAATCCACCTCTGGACTGAGAAGACAACTGAGAAGGAGATCAGTGATGACGAAGATGATGAACCAAAGAAGGAAGAGGAGGGTGACATCGAAGAGGTTGATGAGGACAAGGAGAAGGACAAGGGCAAGAAGAAGAAAATCAAGGAGGTTTCTCACGAGTGGCAAGTCATCAACAAGCAGAAACCCATCTGGTTGCGCAAGCCGGAGGAGATTACCAAGGAGGAATATGCTTCGTTCTACAAGAGCTTGACAAATGACTGGGAGGATCACCTCGCCGTCAAGCACTTCTCTGTTGAGGGTCAGCTTGAGTTCAAGGCCATCATCTTTGTTCCTAAGAGGGCACCATTTGATCTGTTTGATACCCGCAAGAAGATGAATAACATAAAGCTCTATGTGAGGAGGGTGTTTATCATGGACAACTGTGAGGAGCTCATCCCTGAGTACCTTGGATTTGTCAAGGGTGTTGTCGATTCTGATGACTTGCCACTCAACATCTCTCGTGAGATGTTACAGCAAAACAAGATTCTCAAGGTCATCAGGAAGAATCTTGTGAAGAAATGCATTGAAATGTTCAATGAAATTGCAGAGAACAAGGAGGATTATACCAAGTTCTATGAAGCTTTCTCCAAGAATTTGAAGTTGGGCATCCATGAGGACAGCCAAAACAGAGCAAAATTGGCTGATCTCCTCCGATACCATTCTACCAAAAGTGGTGATGAGTTAACTAGCCTGAAGGATTATGTGACCAGGATGAAGGAGGGTCAGAAGGACATATACTACATCACTGGTGAGAGCAAGAAGGCTGTTGAAAACTCTCCCTTCCTGGAGCGGCTGAAGAAGAAGGGTTATGAAGTTCTCTACATGGTCGATGCCATTGATGAGTATGCTGTTGGCCAGTTGAAGGAATATGATGGAAAGAAGCTGGTTTCTGCCACAAAGGAGGGGCTGAAGCTTGATGATGAGACCGAGGAAGAGAAGAAGAAGAAGGAAGAGAAGAAGCAGTCTTTCGAGAACCTTTGCAAGACCATGAAGGACATTCTTGGTGACAAGGTGGAGAAGGTAGTGGTCTCGGACAGGATTGTTGACTCTCCTTGCTGTTTGGTGACTGGGGAGTACGGTTGGACTGCAAACATGGAAAGGATCATGAAGGCACAGGCTCTGAGAGACAGTAGCATGGGCTCCTACATGTCTAGCAAGAAGACCATGGAGATTAACCCTGACAATGGAATCATGGAGGAGCTGCGGAAGAGAGCCGAGGCTGACAAGAACGACAAGTCGGTGAAGGATCTCGTAATGCTGCTCTTTGAGACTGCCCTATTGACTGCTGGATTCAGTCTTGATGATCCCAACACATTCGCAGCTAGAATCCACAGGATGTTGAAATTGGGTCTGAGTATTGATGAAGATGAAGATGCTGATGAGGATGCTGACATGCCTGCGCTGGAGGAAGAGGGTAATGAGGAGAGCAAGATGGAGGAAGTGGACTGAGGACATTAACTTCAGTCCTAAAATGAGAGTGCTGTGAATATCTTTTTCTTAAAACTGTTAGTGGAGGTTTCTGGGAGGGAGGTGTGTGTTTTAAGTGTTCGAGTCGTTCTTCTTATGAGTCTTGTTTCTGGAGTCTGGCATGTGTCTTGGAGTCACTCACTACATCACCCATTTTGTACTACTGCTTATGAAATCTATATCAATCTACCTTTCGAATTACTTGCAGTACTCTGTTTAGTTCTTTTTGTATTACTGCTTCAAGACTTCTTACATATGATGATTAGTCTACGAAGTTCATAGCACGTTAAGCATCACAGCTCACAAGCAGTGTGTGGTGACCGTTTGGTTATGCAAGAATTTGTTACAAGTAATAACTTGTTATACTCGGTGGAATTTCGGGTTCAGCCTCAATTAGCCAAGAGAACGGGCCATGGATGGGCTTGTTAAATTTTGATATAAGTATGATTTGACATGAGTTGAAGTTAATTTACGTGAAATTTTAACGAATTTGAGTAACACCTATTGAACTTATTTATTAAATGAGTTGTATTCGGGTTATGAATTGTTAACTTATTTACTTGTTTAAATAAAATTAATATGATAATAATGATTATTAGTAAAAAAATAAATATAATTCAAAATAAAAAAAAACATTTCCTAACCTTAACTCTATCTCTTCTTTGGTCTGTCCTCTGCCTCCATCAGCGCCTCCATGGTCGATGCTTCACGATTCGCGTTACTCTTTCTTGTCGCTCGTTGCTCATCCTTTCAGTGGTCGCTCACTGCTTGCCTCTCACGTTTGCAAAGTTCTTCGAGATGAAGAGGATCCAGCGGCTTTTTCCTCTTTGAGTCTTTTCAAGATTGAGTATGCCATATTACAATTTGTTTGGTAATTGTTACTGTCTCATGTTGTGGATGATCTTAAGTTTTGAACTTAAAGATTTCTTACAAAGTTACAATGGAGTTTTGAACTCAGGTTTTGCCCTTATAGGTTAGCGTGTTAAACTGTTTAACGGGTTTAAAAAAATTAGTGTGGTAATCCAATCCTACCCAATTCAATTATTCGAAACATGTTAAACGAATCATGTAACTTTTTTGTTTAAGTGATTCATGTTTGTATAGAAATTTTTTACCAGTTTATTAAACATTTCGTATACGAATTTATTGATTTTTTATCTGTTGTTCATTTAATCCGACACATAACTGTTTGATCCAACACATAACCGTTTGATCCAACACGGTTACACCCTAGCCATAGATATACACATGCATCAAAGAGCCCCCAACATTCAAATGCACCAAGGTTCAGATCAAATTGCCCAGATACTATTCTTTCACAGCGGAAGGATAAGCAGTTTCCTAACTCGCATTTCCCCTAACCCATTAAAAGAAGGCAAAAAAACACCAAATCTGTCAGCTAAAGGTAAAATACAAGACATCTTTCATTGCATTTTTCTCTAACTACTACTTAAACGGAAACAACGAGAATTGTCCTCTGAATATAAAGATAAGAGGTAACCATGCCACCAAGAACAAATACGAGAAATCAGAACATTCTTTCTAATTGCCAGCACAAGCATACAGCCACAAACATTCAAGAAGGGATTTCCAAGGATATTCAAAACTAAAAAAAAAACACATCTCAATATTGTACTTAACAAGACAATAAATACTTTGATAGCACATCTCAATATTGTACTTAACAAGAGAATAAATACTTTGATAGCATAAAATCCATTCAAGGAGTGGACACCCTAATTTGCAAAAACAATGAAATTGGGAAATTGAACATCTAAGAAAAGCTTGAACTAGGTGGTGGTGCACCATAACCTCCAGCTCCACGCCCAAAGCCAGGCCTTCCACCAGAACCAGAGCCCTGAAAGATTGAAACAAGTAAGCTAAATCTTAGGGATCACCCAAGGGTAGACTCATAATTCTTTTGGTCTGGTTCACTAAAAGATATCCGGACATCTTAGACCACACATTCAATTCCCTTGGTCACATGCAGTTACCCTGTCTCACATGCAACGAGGATAAGGTCCTGACGGATGAACCTAAGACAAAGTAAAACAAGTTCATAAATCCTAATTTCTTGACCTATGGAACTTCTCTACAAATACAATCACCAGATTCTGGATGCTTATCTAAACTTTTTTGAGAAGTTACCACATGGGTGGATTGTATCATGTCGAATTATGCCAGACACAGAAGGTTGTCAATTGTCAATAATGCATGGCAGAATATGTTTATCTACATTTTTTTGAGAAGTTTCCGCATTGATTGAATTATATAATACACAGAAGGTTTCCAATTGCTAAGAATGCAAATCAGAATATTGTTTGAAGACAAACTCCCGATGCAGAACATCGAATCATAAACTAGTTGTTCACACAGCCCCACTGTCAAACACCAAAATTGGTAATTGAGTTTAAACTACTTTAGGTTAGTTGCAAGAAGCTTAGAGAGGGGTTGCCGCCCCCATGTCCCAATTTCCAAATGGAAGATTATAGACAAAGATTTATGTATTATTTTTACCCAAAATTTGTGGCGATCTGTGCCCTGAGGCGAGAATCCCTATGAGAAATATTTTGCACCTTATTATATAGCATTAGTCATTTCAGAATGGTGGAAAAAATCAATAACATCCTACCATGGATCAATGTCAAAAACCACCCGAAAGTTACAGGTCCCTATCACAAGAATACAGATAAATTGCATCCAATATTCATTCAACCACACAGCTAAAATCCCTTCCATGAAAACAGGAATCAATTTTTTATGAGCATCATGCAATCAAAACTACCTAGGCTACATTACAGAAAAGTATCTCAGGGAAGAGAACGTACCCTGAAAGCGGGCTGGTAGTCGGCTGGCGCTCCACCCTTTTCACCCCCAAACTCACCTGCAGGTCCTCGAGGACCCCCACGATACCCATCCCTGTCGCCAAACCTTGGTCTATCCCCTTCAAACCTTGGACCACTGTGAATATCAATTAACCAACACAAAGATCATATTACAACCAATAATCAAAACAGAACCTAATGAATTATGTAACCTTTAAGCCAATTAGAGAAAATAAAAAAGTATACCGGGGACGATCGCCTGGAGGACCGCCAAAGGGGCGACTTAGTGGCTTGGTGGACTTCTTCAGAGTGGCAGGCACGATCTCGGATGGAAGATTGAGGTAAGTCCTGAGGAACTCGATGCCATCATTGGTGAGGTACCAGTAGTAATGCATCCAAGCGAAGGTCTCACGCACGTACTCCTTCGATTTGAAGCTCTGCATCAATTTGATCACCTGGAGATTTGGTACATCGATCTCTGGATGCTTCGCTAGGTTGTAGTCCTTCTTTGCAAAGCACACTCCCTCTGCAGAGGATTCACCGCAAATCCCATTTTACAAAATACACAGACAAACACATACATACAAACAGAGGGGGAGAGAGAAAAACCTTGGAAGAGGTATTTGGAGATCTCTCTCCGATTCTTCTCTGTGATAATCTGAGGAAGAAAATGGAAACATTAGTTAATTCACACAAAGACATCAATATGAATACACTTCTATATACACATACAGAGAGAGAGAGAGAAGCTCACCATGGCTGCTGTGGGTTTGTGGAAGAGAGGAAGAAACGAAGACAACACTCTCGTCTTGTTATAGGAGCTGCGAAACTGTGAAACCTAATGGGGGTGCTGAATATCCAGATTAGGGTTTTTAATGGGCTTGAATTGGACTGTATTGAGCCCAATGAAAACGATGTTGAAATGCACTTGGGTCATCATAAGTATTATTTGCTTGGCCCATTAAGTATATGTTTTTATGAGCCCAATTCAACTCTATTTAGCAACCGAGTTGTCTTTGACATGTTTGTTACATGCTGAAGACTATGAGTTTTTTTTTTTTTTTTTTCAAGGAACAAGAAAAAGGGTTCGAGGGGGTAATGTAATCGGAATGAAATCCTAGTCTGGGTGTAACTATAGTAGTCTGAACCCATCAGTAGAGGTGTGAATTATGTTGTATCAATTTTGATCGTAATATTTCGTGTCAAATCGTTTTTAATTTGTTTCGAGTTTGTGTCAATAAAAAATTGACTCTTAAAAGTTCACATCAAACTAGTGCTAGTGGATGAGAATTACTTTGAAAACAAAAAAAATGTAAAGTCGAATTACCTCTCAATTTCAATAAAATACAACTGGATTAAGTATGAGTTGACGATTAGAACGTATGTGGATAAAACCTATAATGGGGTCTCAAAAAGTAAATAATTTTTGGTGGGTCATTATCCTTTTTTTAGGTTCATTATTTAATTCCATAACAACTCATATAATATTATTAAAAAAATTATAAAATTCTTATTTTTTGTTTACAATCCTCATTAAATAATTATTTTCTATTTTCAGTACCTGTTAATCATGTTTGTTCGTGGCTTAATTTGACCAATTTTTTACTCGTGTTAACTAACCGTGTTATTTTCGAATTTTGTATCAAGTGAAATCGGCATTAATAGATAAAATTGACGAGTAATATTACATAATTTAAATGAAACCTAATAAATTCAAATTCAAATACATATCATCCCTTGAATGCATGGGTCTAATTAATTTTTTCAATAGGACCTACTCATCTCACACTCACCCAAATAATGATATGCAATTAAGTTTTAATTTTTAAATTTTATTTAAATTATGTAGTATTTTCCAAAATTGACATCCCTGCCCATGAGGGAAACCCATCAGGAATCCTATTGACCAGATATTCATGAAGCTCTATCTCTCGCAAATGGTGCAATGTAGGCTTACAATTTCCAAGCATGAGAGTGGGGGAGAAAGTTGTCTTTCAATTTGTTCCAACTTCTTAAGACCAAATTAAGCTCATTGAATTAGTCCATCATCCATCAACAAAACACAAGTTCTTAGTATGCACACATAAATAGCCCTATACTAATACTAGTGCAACATCGATCCGATTTGAAAGCTATATTTACACGAGTCTTGGTGGAAGCCTAATGCTCCGTTTAGTACAATGAAAAAAATAAAAAGACAAAAAGTTGAAAAGATCAAAAATATTGGATGAATAAATAAAGGACGGATGGAAAAGTTGATGGATAAATTTTTTTTCTACCTCACTAAAATTAATTCCTCTAAAATCAGAAGGAAAATGGACGAAAAAATTAATTATTTGTGTTAAAATGTATATTTTATGTTTATATATCATTTGATATATACATATATTATGTATATATTAATTTCATATAAATACAACCATAAAATATTTATTTATAGTTTTTTTAAAAAAATTAAAAATTAAAAAAATATATATATATATTTTCCATCTTAGTCAGGGATAGAAATTTTCGACTCAACACGATGACACGACTTAAACTTCCCATGAATTTTATGACACGAGTTCAAAAATGACCTGACACACGAACACAAATATAAACGGCTCATATTCATTTCAATCCGTCAAGGCCAAAATTGACACCATCAACCTGTTTATTTAAAAATAGATACTTTTTCTATTTTTTCATTTGTATAGTAATACGAAATTAACATGTTTGACTAATATTATAAACATAAATTGTTAATTATTTGTAACTATTTATTAAGCATTGATATAATTATTATATAAAATCAATATTTTTATTATTTTTATTATTATTATTATTACATTTATTTAAGTTAATTTTTAGTTTGTAGAAAAAGTATAAACATAAATTCAATTAAGTGAAAATAGAATATTATAGTTAAATTTTTTATTTAAAGTTTATGTTAGCCATTACGAATACGAACATGATACGAAAATAAATAAGTCAACTCGACATGACACGATTAGTTAAATAAGTTGAATTAGATTTGACTAATATTCAACACGAATCCGAAATAACTTGACACGAACCTAACACGACACGATTCGATTACCACCCCTAATCTTAACACACAAAAAAAAAAAATCAATCATTTTTATTTTTCATCTATCCTCAGAAAGAAAATGTACTATTCTTATTTTTCTTTCTTGAAGGATAGAAAACTTATCCCTTTTATTTTTTATCTCTCCTATTTTCTATTTTTCCACTTTTCTTCCTTATCAAACATGATAGTTTATTCACCCCTCCCACTTTTTGTTCTTCTATTTTTTCATTGTACAAACGGAATATAAGACATAATCTGCTCTGTTTTAAGCACGCTATACCATGCACCCACAGATCATCAGTACCCCTGTATATATGTGGTCAAGAGATTGTGCTGCTTTGGTTACAAAAAAAGCCCCCTACAATCCTCGACTCTTCACAAAATCTCAAGTTCTAGTTATGGAAACTAGATTCCGCTATATCACAAAATGCCAACTCGTAGTAACCATTCAAACAAGTCCACCTAAGAAGAAGGGCAAAAGTGGTGCTGAAATGGGAAAAAGAACCGTCTTATGAGAACACCAATAGCACACAAACAGGTATTGAAGAAGCTGCAGCATAAGAACGGAGTCAAAAACTTCAATACACAAACACCAAGCTTTACATTTTACATTCCCGCATTAACAATATTCTGATACATTTTGTTTTGTACAGACTATATGTACCTGATTGATGAACTGCAAAACCAAAGGTCTCGCAAAAAGAAATAGTACTTACAATCCAGAAAATCAAAGCATGCGGTTACCTTTTGGTATCTACTAGACCTCAGTTCACGTCCTGGAATTTTATTTAAATAAAATCAGTCTTTGTTGTGAATTTACAATAAAAAAGAAATAGATCCCTCAAAGAAAAACAGAATGCGTTCCTAAATTGAGCAGCATTCTCAGATTAGTAGTCCTTGAGGGCTATATTTGCACCACTGGAACAATCCTTCTCCAACTCAATCTCATATGATGAAAGCAACCTCCTCTGCACAAAATATTAGGTATCAGAGACTATGGGAGTAGATAAGACTATCACAATGACATGTATCAACCATTTTTTCCAGCTTAGTTGTGCCATAGTCCATTAAATATGTACTTCACTCAGAACTACAGGGTAAAAATTATTTGGCTAAAAAGCAATATATAAAAAGGCCACGCCAGCAACTAAATTTTTATCCCAAGCTGCTGAAGAGCAGTTCATATCAGAGGAGACTTTCTTAAGTCGGCCAATAGTTTACACTGATGTTAAAGGCTTCAAGAAATATAATGCAACAATTAAGAATAGTAAGCACTTACATGATCCTCAAAATCTGGGCTGGTCAAATTGATGGAGAGGTTTCTCATCAACAATAACACCTGGACAAAAGCCAGAAAAAAATATGAAATAACTACAACACAGTTCCTGAAGCATAAATAGACGGCATAGCTATAACTCAAAAGATGATGGATTTGACTTCAAACTCACATTCATTCACACACATACAAACAGGGAATGCAAACATGGATTCTATTATTGACTTCAATAATAGAATGCAGAGTTCCATCAGTTCATTAAATCTATTTTTTTTTAATTTGGCTCCTCATTTTGTCAAGAGATTTCCCTTGGCAATAATCCCATATGTCATCTCATCCCATTCCTAATAATATTAACTACATACATGGATTAAAAAGTCTAGTCATAACGATACAAACTCCACCGCACATATAATGGACTTGATAATAGAGATCAACTGGATGAATTGTAATTGAAAAAACACTCTCTTAGAAGAGTGAAGAGCAAGGAACCAAGCATGCAGAATTACTTTGACAGTAAACATTTTATCCCAATATATACTGAATAGACTATATGCTTCAACCCTAGTCCAAGCAATGAAGCAACCTACAATGACCATATGTAACAGCATTCCACTAATCCCACTATTTACAAAATATCAACATGAACTACAAAAGTGCAGATATCTGTTTATTAAAGCTGCACCTATATCCCACCCAAACTTAAGCTGAAGTAAAAGCTTTCTTCCCATACATTTACCATGGCACAAGAAAAGAAAATTGTTTCAAAACTATACAGGTCAAAAAGCTTACTGTTTCAACATCAATTGGATCCATTTTCTTTAGTTTTTGCATGTGCCCAGTAACATTTGGGTCAAAGACACTGCCAATGAAGCTGTACACTTGAGCAAAGTCGGGCAAAACTGCATAAGCAAAATAGGTATTAATGCTAGCCATACAACGAGAAACATACACAACAAGAATATGTATAACCGCAGATAGCAGAAAGATTAATATTGCAAACCAATAACTTTACAAGCAGAAGCAGCAATGCCAACAAAGGAGGAGAAAATACCTCATACAAATAAATAGAAATTTAGAGATAGAAATTTTTTTCCATGTGTAGGCATAATCCATAAATTTCTTATTCTTACTAAATTCAACTCTTCAAACACTTGGTTCAAATGATACAGAAGTTAGCCATAAAAGTTACAGTTACCTCTCAATGAAGGTCCATTACTCGTTTGATCAGCTACTTCACCAGCTGGGCGTGTCCTTGGAGTGCTCTCAGTACTACTGCAACAATTTTTATTTGCCAGTAGTGGCCCTTGCGTTTTCACATCACCTATTGCATAACATAGACCCAGATATTATTTTTACGAAAAAGTCACAAACCCTAAAAAGATGAGATTAATGAATGCCATGAGGTAAAAAAAGACAAATGAACCTTTTGTCACATGTGATACACTGACTGTTTGCAAGGAGTTGTCGGTCGAGGAAGGCACAGCCACATTAGTAAGAGGATTCCTAAGTGGCAAAGAAGAATCAGGCCTTTGCACGCATCTAGGTTCAGGTAGAGTGGGTGATGTTTGAAAGGATGTTGTCACCTGTGAGAGCACTGGAGCTGCTAAACATGCCAAATACGACCAGGATCACATTAAATTTTCCTCATAACAACTAACATGCAACAAATTAGCAAACCTAACCATTTTTAGAGGCTTTCTGCGGATAGGGATGTGCAGCTTTCCTTTTCGGCCGAGGAGGAGGTAGATGTTCATTGGTTCCACTCTTTTGAACCTTCAGAAAGTACTTCTGTGCATGGCTACGTATCTGTAACAGTAATCCTCCATTTTTCAGCACTTATTAGAAAAATCAAAGTACATGAAGCATTCAATGAGATATTGTTTATCTTTCTTACATTGCAAACTGTTGGATGCAAACCTCTAATACATAGAGTGGGTGTAACCATAGTTATTTGTATCAATGATACGTGATCCGTATCGTACGATATGTATTGTGTCTCTGTATCATTTTTACACCGTATCGTACGATACACAATACGATATGTACAATACGTGACGATTCTTTTTTTTTTTTTTGATTTTTTGGGGTTGAAATGATATCGTTTTACTCTAAGACTTATTTTTAAATCATTAACCAGTAAAACAACGTCGTTTTAGTGGTTGTGGTTTAAAAAAATAAAATAAAATATGTTATTAATGTTATTCAATTGAGTTCAAAATTCCTGATTAATATTAAAATTGTTTCAAATAATTGATGTTAAAAGTTTGAATAAGAGGTTTTTGCATTTTGATATTACTGAACTATGTTGGGAACTTAAATAATTTGTAGAATATTAATGAAAAGCTATATTATTATAAGTCTATATTTTTTTTACAAAGGTATATATATATTTTATTTATAATTATTTAAAAATTAAATTGCGCGCATCTTATGGTACACGATGCGATATAATATACTATTTTTGAAAAATAATAAACCTTCTAATACGTGATTTGACAACTATGAGTGTAACACACTAAGAAACTGCAATTTGAGATGCTAGCGAAATCAAAGTTTTGGATATATGAATAGCAGAATTTTTTTCCCTATGAGAAGAAAACAACTGCAGAGAAAACCAGGGGCAAGCCCCGAGTAACAAGACCAGCTAAGAAGGCGTTTCCAGCCACCCCCATGCCCAACCATCCAAAACGCAAAAAAAATTCCAACCCACAAAGAGGAAGGGAATATTCAAGTGAGCAAGAAATAGAAACAAAGGAATATTTATCAAAGCTCAAGCTACCCGATAAGCAACAGGATAACTCTTTTATCAATCAGCACTGTGTTCATTACTCCTAGGGCACAGATGATGAAACAAATCTTTTTTAGTACATATTACATCAAAATCAGCCATCCTTGAATTCAACAATGTAATAAAGACAACATTCTGCACCTTATGGTACAAAATGGCTGCAGTGAGTCAAAAAGAAGCTCCAGTACAGCCTCACCCACCAAAATTAAAATTGCCGGATCAAGACAACTGTTTTGGTTATTAATCTATCTCTCTCTTTCGGCTGCATAGCCTAAGGCTACTCTCAATAACTCCAACATTTTTCCATGACAGTACAAGCAATCCAATCAACAAAAACTTGGCTTGTTACCAAGTTGACCTAGGTATTGCCTAGTGCAAAGGTAAAATATTCGGCCTAACAACTGCAAAATTATAGATAGCCATTTTTTTCAAATAATACCAAAGGTTATGCCCAACCCATTCCCATGGGAAAAAAGGACAAAATAAAAGTGCACCCTGATTATCAGGGATCCAATTGGTAATAAAGTTCTTTTATTTTGCAGTGGCAGAGTGGCGACTACAATGTACCTCTCATATTTCAGTGAGTCTATGTGCTGTCTGACATGCCAAGTAGGCAAACCGTTAAACGGCAACATAAATAAATAAAAAATAATAATATAAACTTATACCAAAAACTTCCATCAATACAGAAAATTATGCAGATGAATTCACCTGGATAACGGTCTTCGACCCAACAAATGCTTCAATCTTTTTCCAATCACGGTCGAAACTGTATGCACCAAGTGGACATTCTATAATCAGGAAACTATTGCGGTCATTATGAGTAACAACATAAAACATGGATACCCCTTAGTTTCTCACACAACAGAGCATAAAGGTTATAGCATGCATAAATAAAAGATACGATGACACAAAATAGGAAGTTCTATTCAAAAGGATGCATAGAACAAACTGGTTCAGTGGGTTTCTGAAAAAATAAAGCATATAGTTGGCAAAGAAAAAATCCTAATGTAGTATCTTATACCCTAATTACATCCAAACGCACCGAATTAACATAGCACGTTGCCCATCGTCTATTGCAACTCAAAACCCTAAAATTCTCAATCCATAACCCTAATTCAAAACCTCGAAACAGCCAAATTCAAATGTGAATATGCAGGGGTAACTCACAGTTGAAGGGCTTCAAGAAACTTGTCGTGCTCGGGCTCAGTCCAGCTCTCTCTGGACTTGGTAATGGTGTAGGGTTTCCGGATCTTCTTCGTCGGATCTTCAGACGACGAAGTATTGCAGGCCGCGGCGGTTGGTGTAGAGAAGGAGCCTAGGTTCGGTAAGGCCATGCTTAACGGGTCTAAGTAGAAGCCTTCGGGTGGATTTGGATTCAGAGACACCATGTGCTATGTATGAGAGAGAAAGAGACAGGGAGATAGTTACGCTTCGACGTTAAGCTGAGCTGGTTTAGACTCTCTCAGAGAGCAAGAAAAGAAATGTGGTTTTGTTAGAGCCGATTACAGAAGGTTATGATTCCCTGCGGGAAGGTTGAGCAATTATTCAAAGCTCACCCCATACAAATATGCCACGTTAGCAGCACGACACCAATTGGACAGTAGTGGTAAATGCTGCATTTTCAGGTAAAATTACATAAAAGTTTTCCAGAGGTTCTGGCGAGAATTTCACTGTGTACCTTTAAAATTTTAAGAATTCTCATTTTATACCATTAAGGGCTATTTGGTAAAAAAATATAAGGAGATTTGACGAGATGAGTTTGAGAAAAATAATTCAAAAAAATCTCAAATCCCATATTTGGATTGAAAATTCAGTCTTGCGTTTTCAAACCAAATCCGTAGTTACCCCGAAAATTAAACTCATGATCATTTATTTCGTCAAACCTAGGAGAGAGGATGGGTTTGGGAAGATGCATAAGGGGTTAAGAATGTAAAAGACAATTGTATCTCTTAACATGAATATGAATTAAATTGATCAGACGTAAAATAGTCATTTACAAAACAAATAACTTTTAATAATTATGATATATATGTGTATGTGTTGCATACCAAACATGGGTATGAATCGAATTCAATATTAAATCTCACATTTGTAAAGAAATATTTAGAGAACCCAATCCAAACCCCTACCCAAAATTCATCCAATCAAGTCATTAGAGCATGATTGGTTCATGGGTTTTGGTGGGATTTATAGAGTGTTTTATCAAAGAGCAATGTTATTGGGACATAAATTATGGACATAATTTGATGACATAATGAATTATCACAAATGATATGATAATAAATTCATTAATGTTACAATGTGACTCATCATTAAATGCATTTCACTATCATTTTATTAGTGACAACTTATTATATCTCCAAATTATGTCTTTCAATTATGTCCGATGGCAATAGTTCAATACATCGTCTTATTCTTTGTTTGGTTACATATTTTAAGCCCAAGATTTAAATTCCGGCTAGTAATAGCTCACAAGTAAAACTCATGTATAAGAGTTTCAAAAAACCCATGGGGTGGGTGGGTTTACAGGGTCGGCCCAACTGTATAAGTATAAAACCTAGGTTTTAGGTCCCATAATTTTAAATAAATAGTTGGTCCACTTTAAAATTTGAAATCCATGAAAATTATAAGCCTACAAAAAAACTCTGCCAAAATTTAAGGTCAATTAAAAATTTTAATGTGTTTTTTGAGTGTGGGTATAATTTTTTAAACTTATTTGAGGAAAAGAGTATGAATAAATTCTTTACTCTATTTAGTTCAATTTTAATAAAATATATTGTGCTTAGGTACAAAATTCAAATGAAATCAAAACTTTTTTAACTAAATACCCTCTCTTAAATTATGCATTTTTAATTGACAGTTATGTACCTAATCAAATATGTAATGATTTCATTAGACATTATCATTATTTTTTGAATTTTGAATTGCAATTTTGTATTATTTCTGCCTTAAAACGTGTTCTTCAATGACCGGCTTCCTTGCAATTTTGTTCAACATTCGACTTGGTGATTTTATTTCTCCAGGTGCGGTATTTTCTTGGTTTTTTTGTGTTTGATTCCAAAGTCTATTTTTCTTAATCAATTGATTATTTCTCCAAAAAAAAGAACTGAAAATACTGATCACCATTATCGATTTGAAAATAAGTTTTTAATAATCAAGTTTTTTTCTTTTATTTGGCCATTTTTTACTAGGAAATCGCAATTTCGATTTAGTCAAGGTGTTCTGTTAGATATTATGTATTATTCGTTGTTGGAATGTATGGAAAAAATAACTTCTTTGTTTTTTTAATAGGTGTAACTGTTTTATTAATGAGTGTAACTATTTTTTTAATGAGTGTAACTATTTTTTAATGGATGTAATAATTACAGTCTCATGCAATTGTTAAGGTATGATGTATCTCTAATTGGATAAAGTCCAAAGATGCATATGGTGTTGTTTTTATGCAAACATGATTTATGTTACAAAAACTTATATAGAGGTACAACATAGAGTTACTCAAAAACATAACACAATAAAATTTTATAATTTATACAGGTTAACCAAAATTGATATTATATTTTTTATTGAAATAGACAACATCTAAAATTAAACAACTATATTAGGGTATCATACAGTAACTATACGGTGCATCTATATTAACCTAATCATTATCCCACACATTGGTAACTATTTAAATTATTACAATGGTTGTGAGCTAGATTTTTATAAGCATATATACATTTTGGGTGTAACTCAGTTGCATACAGTAATTGCATTGTGTACGCAAGTATTGTTATATATCACTATGAGGTGTAACTCAATTTCATACCATGAATATGTAAATTAACTATATAGTTTACTTATTATAGTTATTTATATCATATACACATAATTTTGATAAGTAGAACTCAACTCATTTAGATTGAAGAATTGACTTTTTATTATTTTCTTTTAACAAAAAATGGGTTGGGATTTTATCTAACGAAAAAAAAAATGAACTAAAAAAAAAATTAAATAAACAATCTCTTACCTTTGTGTGATTCAAATGAAGATGGTAAATCTAAAACAGTTACCAATAACAGAGATAAGAATAGAATCTTTTGAATACTAAAATAGTTACTCAACACTGTTAGATCAAACAAATTTTTTTTTCAAAATGTTTAGAATTTGTATTCAAATACCTTCAATTTTGGAATTACTCATTCAATATAAAAGAATTATACTTTGTGATTTTTATCTTTGAAATTAGAGTTTTAAAAATTTGTTTTTTGAACAGAAATTATAGAGTTTTGAAAAAAAAAGAAAACTAAATAATAAATTTAATATATGAAACCCAAAGGCAACCTGTATTTTCCAGTGAAGATTTGGCCAACGATGACGAACAGTTACTGGACACCAAAGCTTCGAAATTTTAATTGTTTGCTTCCTCTTTTTTTTTTTGAAAAAATCACTATAAATCTTATATACTTTGTGGAGATTCTATATAAAATCTATCCCACTTTTAAAATTTCCGAAGAAGAAGGGTCATGATAATTACCGCACCCTTAATTACCTCCCCATTACTTCACTTTTGTCAAAGAAGACAGTTGACAGACAAATATGTTTCATCCTTTTCCTTTTTATCGAATGACATTCTCATCATTTTAAAAAAAATTGCACTCTAGCTCAAATAAGATTTATTTTTTTGCTCAATTGTACTGAATTCCGTTTGACCCAATTTTAATTTCAATAATCTTTTTGGCTTATGATTCAACCCATAATAATAAAAACCAAAAAAATAAAAATTTTATTAAAAAAAAAATGATGGTATTTCACATGTCAAGTCATAATTCAGCCACCCATTTCTCTACTACATTCTCTCTCTCTCTCTCTCTCTCTCCAACACCAGAAATCCCCCTTCCTCTCATTTTCATTCTCATTTATTCTCTCTCCATATCAATTTCAAATATTTTTTTTTTGGTTTTATTTAACTTCAAAAATAAAATCATTAAATGTTGATAGTTTAAAAAAGTTTATATTTTTTTTTGAATGTTTCTTAAAGCTTAAAATTTTTTCTGAAATTTATAATTTATATTTATTTTTAGAATAAAATATTTTAAAGAAGATTTTATAAATGAAAGAAAATACTTCAATTGATACACTAAATTATACAAACAGACTTGATTTTTTTTCTTCAAATGTATGCATTACTTATAGAATAATATTATTAATTTTTGTAGCAGTTACATCTAAAAAAGAAAATTTTCAAAATTAAAATTGATAAAATTTTACTTAAAATCAACTATATCACAAGAAAAAATAATTTAATTACCTATATTATCAATAAAAAAAATATGATAACAAAATTTAAATATAAAAACTCAATTTATACTTTTATAACTCAAAAAATGAGAAGAATTAATTTTAATCAAAATTTTTAACCCTAAAAATAAATGATTGCTTTAAGTCTCAAATTACCTTAAGCCGCCCTTGTGGGTTTGGGTGGGCTTTGGCAATTTCATAACAAATATTTCAATTAATTCATAGGTCCTATGTGTATTTGTGTCACTTACCAAACATGAGATTGAATATAGTACATTATTAATCCCATGAACGAAACGTAAGGAATGGGTTTTGAAGAATTTCATAAATCCAATCTAATCTCTATCTTAAAAATCATCCAAACACGCTGTTAAAGATAAAATTTTTCATATTACACATTAAATATATCAAAAGTATTTTAATGTGACATTTCTATTAGTATCTGTTATTTTTTTTTGTTAACAATCACTCTAGTGACATTGACGAAAAAAATAATAGAATCTAATAGAAATGTTACATTGCAACACTTTTGATATATTAAAGGTGTAATATAAAAAATTTAATCTTTAAAAGTAAAAAATAAAAATATTAAAAAAATTTAGGGTATAAAGTGTGATTCTCCCGCGGTTCTTTGTACACCAGATGCCACTAACATTTTATGAGACAAAATTTGAAATAATGAAAGTTTTAGGGATGCAAAACTTCTAATAGGGGAAGTTAGTAAGAAGTTACTTTCCTATATAGAAATATTCAAGAAGAATGTCATCGTACAGTGATTTTGCAATACATCACTCATGCAGGATCCCACACGAATAGACAAAGCAAGAGACAGACCCAGGTCCGAAGTTGCTTGGTAGAAGATTTAAAAGTGTTAAAAGGACGTCAAATTTTAGAAGATTGTGTTTGCCTTAATAGAAGGAGTACAAATATGAAAGACGACACCGCTTTTACATTCCAATAAGTTCAAATTGCATCATTCTAAAATGTTTGATATGTGAAAGAAAAGTTGTCTTCTCCATACGTTTTCTCCCACCTCATCACAGCAAAAAAAACAATTGTCCATCGATTAGTGATGTTGACTCCGAGTTGACTCAGTTCCTCTTCCCCTAACTCACTCACTATAAAAATGCCTGCAGGATATCTCCATTTTGGTAGGCTAGTCACATTTTTCTTCTTTTTCCTTGGAATTCTCTCCAGTGAACAGTTTTCTTGAATTCCTCATCTGCAACTTTCTCTGGGAACTCTACTTGTATCTCGGATCTTCAAAAGAAAATGAAGGTTTATGTCATTCTTTGCTGCTTACTACCATGAATGTTGTCTGGGTTCTATTTTCTCTCTGTCCAAACACACAAATAAACGCTCAACCTCTAATTATGTACATTTTCCAGGGATTGTTTAGAATTTTACTTTGTTTTATGTTAAGAGCTCAGCAGACATGACTTCAATAATTGTTCTTTTAATTTAAATTCAAAATCTTGTCCTTGTTGATTATTTATTTTTACATTGTCATGTTGCTTTGAATTTATGGTATTGGTTGTACCAAGAGGAGGTCTTAAGTTGGGTGATACCTGCAAGCATCTATTTCTTTGTTTAATGAAGGTGTTAAAAGGTTTGGAGGATTTGACAAAGGAATTACTCTTTGAAATTGTGTTGTCATTGCTAATATGTGGGTTATTTGGAAAGAGTGAAATATAAGTATTTTTGAAGACCGGAATGAATGAGAGTGTGGAAGGACTATGGAAGCATATTTATTTTTTGGCATCGTTTTGAGCTTCCATTACAAAGGCTTTTAAAGGAACTCCGTTTTTTGCTATAATAGCAGGATGGAGAGCATCACGTGATTTATAGGCTTCTTAGAGTTTGTTGCTTTTTAATTTGTGTTCCCTTCATTATGATTGAATTTTCTTATCCAATCTTTCTTGTTGTACTACACTTTTTCCATTTTAATACTAGAGTTTCTGTTTTCTATCAAAAAAAAAGTTCATTTAATTAAAATTCAAAATCTTGCATAATTGAGCTCTTTAATTATGTTATTTTGTTGGTGTCTATGAATTCTTTCGGGTATGTGCACTTACAAAGGACTGATGCATAGGTTTGCATAATTGTGTTACATAGTTCTTGATAGGTTTTGGCTGTTCATGCTGGATTGATTAGTCTCAACTGAATTACATTCTAATTCAAAACTTGTGGTTCTGTTGCTCTTCTTGTTCATTGCAGAAAGTAGTGTTGAAATTGGAGTTACATGATGATAAAGCCAAGCAAAAAGCCATGAAGACAGTCGCTGGCCTCTCAGGTATTTTCTCAAACACTTTTCAGTGATCTAACTTAATGAATTCTTTAACAAGAAAACCCATGTGCTGAGAATTTAAAATTTCTCAAGTTTTAGTTTTTGGGTCTCTAATTCTTCAGGGGTTGATTCAATTGCCGTGGACAGTAAGGAGAAGAAATTGACAGTGACAGGAGATATAGATCCAGTAACTATAGTAGCTAAATTGAGGAAGCTCTGCCACACAGAGATAGTCAGTGTTGGACCAGCAAAAGAGCCTGAGAAAAAGAAGGAAGAACCCAAAAAGGGTGATTCCAAGAAAGATGATGCAAAGAAAAATGAGCCCAATAAGCCAGATGACAAGAAAAAAGATGATTCTTCCCAGCAATTGAAGGTTTACCAGCCCTATAATCAGCAATATCCTTACCAGCAATACCCTTATCAGCAATATCCATATCAGCAATACCCTGCTCCCATGCCGGCATATTATGCTAGACCTGTGGAAGATGAAACAACAAACGCTTGTGTTATTTGCTAGCTTCCACATCTTTCATGATAATAAATTGTCGCACATGTCTTGACTTATCCGGTGAATCTAAATCTGTCGAATCACTTATGTTATGATCTTCTACATCCTAGGTCTTCCCGTTCCGTCATCTGGCTTATCGACTAGGAATGCCAGTACAGAAATTTTTTTTTGAGGCAATATACTGATAGTCAGTTTACTTTTTTTTGGCAAATCTTCAAGGGTTGGTGCCCAAGAGAGCTTTTCTGTACAGAAGTAATGATGGGTTTGTTGAATATTTTTTTTTGTTATTTGTTGTTGGTTATTTTTACCTAGACATATATCACTGATTGTTTTCAGTTCTTAAAATTGTTCCATAACATTCTGTACTCAATCAGATCTTTGAACTAGTTCGTCAAGAGCTTAAAGCCTCAATTCAATAAGGCTCCAATTGAAAATGTGCAATGTTAAAGCCGGCAATCCAAGGGCAGTTCAAGTGGTGATAAAAATAAACTGTAAATTCAGACGTTCTGAGTTCGAATTTTGACAACTCTTGAGGTTAGGCCACGAGAGATTTATGAATATTTTAGTCTCAATGTAAATGATCTGTATTTGACTGAATAAAAAAAAATACTAGTCAAAATATGTACAAATTGGTCCAAAAATCCTAACCATTTGAACCCAAAAAAAAATGTCGAAGCCGGCTAATCGTTCATATTTTTGGTTAAGTAATGGCCGGCTTGCATTAGAGTCCTTATAAATTGGAGGTAAAAGCTATTTAAATATTACATTATGGTACAAAATGAACTTTTAATATGGTGGTGGTTCTGACCAAAATACAAATAAAAATAAAAATAAAGGGATTGCCATTTTATCTCGGAGTTTTGACTTTTCCGAATTATAATTCTTTTTATGCTTAATTTTATATTTCCACTTATTTCAAACTGATTTTTCATCCTCTTGTTTAAAAGTGTGTTCATTTCAAAGTTATGTATTGAAAGCGTGTCTTATAATTGTGTTTTTACATCAAAAGAATATGAGTTTAAAACTCAAATTATGTTGGGTGTAACTAACTATTATTTGGAATCAGATTAACTGACTAATTGTATCTAAATTATGGCAGGTGTTACTAAAATTGAATTCATTAATAAGCCTAGTCGAGAGAGGGTTCAATAAAAGTATGGCGGGTGTTACTATGAACTAGTTCTCGTACGCATAGGTCATGTCATAGGTTTAGTTATAACTCTTCACATAGTTAAATGAATGTCTCCATCAACTTGGAGAAAATTTCATTTGTCCTTCATAGAAATTTTAGTAACTAGGGACTGCTTTAACAATAGATTAAACTGATTTGATTAAATATAAGTATGACAAATATGTTATCTGAACGTTCAAATCAGGCCAAAACTTATTTTATTCATGGTGGTGTTGTTTTCGTTTCATTCTCATGTTATTAGTTATAGGTGTCAAAGTATGGCACAATTCGGTAATACGATATAAAATTAGAAATTTTGAGTTTTTATTAAGCCACCCATTTCTTAAACGAGTAAATACAATATAACATGATTAACATGAAGGCAAAGGTTTTTATAATTTTTTTTTTATTGGTTAACATGCGAAAATTAAACACTTTTTTGCTTCGTCTTGATAATCTAACATCATAATTGAATAGACAAAACAGATACAAGTTTCTCGAGTAATGAGAATCAGAGGTATGTGGACAAATGATCCACAGCCCATGGGTAGCCCTAAACCCTGAAGCCTACTAGGCCATGGTTTGGGCCACCATTTGGTGGTCTATAGACAATTTGTTAACCCAACCGGCAGTGCCGCGGGCAGGGATTTTCGGCTTGATGAGTTGCAGTATTTGTAAAAGACCTGCAAAGGCTGCCCGTTAGGTAGATCAAAGCCCGGCTCATTAGCCCAAAAAATTAAAATAAAAGGTTAATTTGATAAAAAAAATTGGACATTATGGTATTTCTTAATCGAATTTTGTCTTTTTTTTTTACTACGGCCTGAAAGGAGTGCCTGCAGGCCCTGCACCCTTGTGTTTGACTGTTTGAGGAAGTTGGTGCGGCATTCGAAGTGGGTGCGGTGCGGCTGATATTATTGGCTTTTGTCTTCTTTTTGTTCTTACTTACGGCTTTACCTTAACTAAACCGCTGTCCGGAAGATTACTTTGATTGGGAGGCCAATGTCGAATACTTTTTTGAGTGGCCCAGCAGGTGTTCTCGATTGATATGTTGGCTTTTCTCCAATTTTAAAATATGATAATCAAACAGATGTGAAAGCATTGCAAAGCAAGAGAATGAATCACCAAAAGCAAAATGTAACTATAAGTTTATTTGTGCATGCTAACTGCTAATCGGAAAATAATGTAATAGTAGGTTAAATTGGATGAAAATTTCACATTAACTAAAATTGAAACAATGAACGATTCAACTGAGGCAAAATATAGTTGAGGGATTGGATTGATATGGGTACTACAATTTAGGGATCAAGTACGTTTTTCATGAATCCTGAAGAAAGAAAAAAACACGAGCCATAAAGTTGCTTTGTGGAAAAATTTAAAAAGTGCTATGGCCATCAACTTTGAGAAGATATTGCTTGCTAAAACTCTAAGAGAGTGTAAAAATGTAAGATTATGCCACTTTTCTATTTCAGATGCTCAAACTACATAAATGAAGAAAGAGACAGACCTAGTCCATGAAGTTGCTTTATGGAATGATTTAAAAGTGTCACGACCATCAACTTTGGAAAGCTAGCGTTTTGTTGAAACTAATCAATAGTACAGATATGTGAGGCTTCGTCGTTTTCATATTCCAAATGCTCAAACTACATCAATGAAAAAAGAGACAAATATGGGTCCCAAAGTTGGATCATGGAAAGATTTAAGGTTGTAATGTCTATTTACTTTGAGAAGTTAGTGTTTGCCAAAAATGAAAGAAAGACCTACATTTAAGACGACGATACTTTCATATTCTAGATGCTCAAACTACATCAATAATGAAAGAAAAAGACACGGGCCCCAAAGTTGCTTCGTTAAAAAATTTAAGAAAATTTGAAAACCAATCTCCCTATATGGACTTAAGTTCATCAAAGAAATTTGTTTGTTATGAAATCCATTTTTTGTCAATTTTACCATACAATTCCTTCCTTTTAGAAGTGAAATAAAACTAAAAATTAAAAAATAAAAACTCCTAAATCTTAAGAGTTTTGACTAACATTAATATTTTTTCTCTCATATTTATCTATATCCATATATAGGTTAAAAATTTGATTAACATTAAAATTTTGCCTCTCTATTATCTATCTATATATAACATTCAAATACAAAAAAAAATTATCATTTAGACACAAAAAATAATACATTTAAACACAAAAAAATAGTAACATTTAAACATAAAAAAATTAAAATATTCAATATTAATATTTTTAAAAAACAACAACAATAACATGTTCAACAAAAATATTAACATATTTAATAAAAATAGTAACATGCTTAAAAAAAACTGTAACATACTTAACAATAATTATTTCTCTCAAATTCAAATGCAAAAAACAGTATCATTCAAATACAAAAAATAGTAATATTTAAAAAAATAAAAAAATAGTAATATTAAAAAAAATAAAAAAATAGTAACATTGAATATTAATATTTAGGAAAATAATAATAATAACATGGTCGACAAAAATAATAACATACTCAAAAATAATAGTACATGAACAGTAACATACTCAACAAAAACAATAATATGAACAGTAACATAATAAAAAAAATAGTAACATGAATTTGAATTTTACTATTTTTTTTAATGTTACCATATATATATATATACTAGTTATTGCCTGTGCCTGAAGGCATTGTACGACGAAAAGGATCAACTAAAAAAAATGAGCACTAAAAAGTGTGATCTAAAACACTCATTTAAACTTAGACATAACTTGAAGCCCAAAAGCCTGAAGTTTATAATGCACTAAAAAGTTATCTTCTAATTTAAAGCCAAAAAAGAGAGAGAACAAATTAAAAGTCAAGGTTATAATCACAATTTCATAAAATATTAGGCAAACATAACAATCAAGACTATAAACCTTTTGCACCACCCCTTACATAACCAAAAAGAGCAAACAAATTTACCAAATACCCTTTCACTCACCTCAATCCTTCAATTACACATGAAATAGTTCAAACCCATTTCTACAAAGCTGAAAAACATTACATTAGAGGCCATTAAAATAACTAAAATTATTCAAATCATAGTCCTATCCAATCTTCAAATTCTTTAGAGTACCTAGTAATGAAATAAAAGTATTTATGTCAAAGAAGCCCCTTAATATTACATCACAACAATTTGCATCAAATCAAATAAAATCAAACAATTGGCATGAAGTCGCATTCAATTCCCCTCAATATTGCATCCCATCATATTCCCAACAAAATAACAAAACCTTCTCAAAATTCACATTAGGTCACTACAATTTGCAAACAAAAATAAGATCAAGGAATTCAATCCCCAAAATTACATACAAAAGCTAAGAATAGTAATTAAATATAAATTACAAACCACACAACTAAGGTCATCTCTGTTAAGAAAATGAATAGACGAAATTGCAATTAAGAAAAATAATAGTAAACTTTTGTGACAGTCAAAAAATTATGTTGGCATTGTTTTTACAATTAATTTACTCCAAACCAATCTACAAGGAATACATAAAAACAAATTGTGTAATGAACTCAAATCGCAACAATTCGCAAACAGAAAGTGGTGGATATGGTTTGATTTAGTCGAATAACTATCAATGATATTACCACCATAATTGCCAGTATACATAGAAAAGTACCACGTCGACTCTAGTTTAATCTTAAAATGTTTAAACAAAAAAATTCATTGGCAAATACAATTAAACGATACATAATGGAACATAGCTAGTAAACTTACCATTCACAAAACATGGTCCAAAGGCAACGGCTAGCAAATAAAACACACCTTTCTCAAATCGCTGTTAATATTTTATTTTTTGGTTCTCATGTG